CGTCACGCCGAAAACAACAGGGGAAAAAACCGACGGATCGAAACCCCGGGCGGATTTTTTTCTGTGTCACTGTTTTCGAGCATCCTTGATCCGAATTCGGAGATTACAGTGGACGGTCCGGAGCGACGGTCGAGCTGTTACAGAACGTTGAAACCTATTACCGGGCTGAACGCAAATACAGAACCGTTCCCGTGCTGAATGAAAATATCGACGATTTTTCGGCGGGTTGAATTTTACATTAATCTGTATGTAACTTACACCGAGTGCTCGTCGAGGTTCCATGTTTATCACCGAGCGCGATGTGTCCGGTAGCTGTGAACTTCCGTTTTCACTCTACATGACGATTTTAAACGTTTAACCGCTCGTAAAGCTGAGATGTAAGAGAAATCGTTAAACAAAGGTATAGACCAACAAATTTTGGACCAACAAATTGATTGAATTGATATTCACACCTTTTCTTATACCACCGAGTCCAGTTCCTGAGAAGTTCAAATCCAGGTCTGTATGCATACATGTATGAATTAACCTTTAGACTCACTTGAAGAAATTTCATTTCGGCTGGAAAAACGATTGTTATTTACCGAATACAAAGTGAAAACATCATCAGGGCTCTGATTGGATACTATAAGACAAGTTAACACGTTTAAGATGGAGCATCATTTGCTTTGCTTTGCTAAAACAATTTTTCTTTTTTCACAGTGCTTTAATGAAATTTACTGCAAAAGATGTAAAGGAATTTTCTAATACCATGTGATTTATAAAATATCGTTCTTGAAGTATGGTATTGTTGGTTCCTAAGGACCGACGTTGCGCTCAACGTGTTAATTGAATGCGTTCTCTCTTTCGTTGCGCAAAGTTTGAAAAAACAGCGGATCGTAGGTGTCTGGACCTGGAATCGAGTCTGCGGTAGGAAATGGTCGAAGGGGGAGGGAGCGCGTACCCGTATGGAAACCGGAGTGAACGCATTACACGCAAGCGACGACTCGTACTCGATGAAGATGTAAGGGCCGCATTGTGTCCTGCACCGTCGAAAGAACTCGAGGTCCAAAGGGAGCGAGAGAGCGAGACAGAGGGTGGGAAGGAGAAAGTATATACACACACAGATCGCCGTGTACATAGAACGGGAGCCGCAACTACCGTCGCTGGGGTAGATCTCGCCGCGGATAGTGCTTTATTTCATCAAAGGGACAACAAGGAAGCCGAGATAACGCCGCATGCTTCACAGAAAGGAGCACTTCGGCCTGGAGGAGTATGCGCGGCACGAACGCACGCACGCATGTACGCATATACCGTGCTTGATGATCCATAATCGTGTGCAGACGCAATAACCGTGCTCGAGAATGCACGCGAGTTCCTCAAAGAGTGGCTCGCCGGAAAAGAGCGTTGACGACTTCTTTGTAGCGCAAGGAAATCAGAGGACTCCAAGCGTTCCAAGTTTATACGGTGTTTTAAAGATGGCTTGAAGCGTTTCTTTGAGACTTGGTTTTCGGACTGAAAGGGATTTGGTCGGACAATAGTAATGGGCAAACGACTCCAAAATGTATTTTCATGACTAGACGGTGATTTTTAGAGATTTTTATTAGGCGACTCGCTAGCATGGCATAATTGAATTTTAAACGTTACATCCTTGACTACCGACTTCTATTTCTATAAATCTTAGATAAAAGTTAAAATTTGCATGATTCGTACAGAAATTTGAATTCATATAATTCAACACGCTAACTGCCACAATAATCGCTGCAATGAAGAGCAACTGATATCTAAGATGACCGATGTAGAATAAGAATGTTCAATAGTATAAGTAACTAGATAGTCTCAGAATTGTATACTAAATAATTAATAATTCCCTTTATGTATCATTGTTAGAAAGTAATAAGTGATATATGAACATAGGATTCTCACAGTAGCCACGCGTTAAAAAGAATCGACTAATCTGTGATTCATAAAAAAAGAAGAAGAAAAAATTCAATGAATTTAAATTCATTGGACCGTCACAGTAACGCACATCGGTTCTTATAAGAGCGTTAACAAAGTAGACGGTGTCGGCGAAGGGGCAAAGGGAGCAGCAGGAGCGGAAGGGTTGTTTACACTTACCCATGCGGGCTATCGGAAGTATCGGCTTGGATCGGTGAACGGGAAGACCGGACAATTCGATGCGGGCAATGCGAATTAAATGGGCCGCGTGGAACACGATGCGCGCCGATAAGCCACGTACAACATTTCCCTCGCTAGATTCTTCTTTCAAAAAAAATTCAAGTTTACTTCCTACGCAATTCGAACAGTCCCAAACTCCTTCTTTAGTTTGGATTGTAATACACGCGTGTATATATTTATACGATGCGCGCATGTATGAATAGTTTATAATTATTTTAAGAGGGCCACTACAGAGTTCGCTCGGCCAAAGGAAACCAGCGTCTCCCAGCGAACGGTTTTATAACGTAGGATCCAGATTTCAGGGTGACGATAGAGAGCCGAGGAGAGAAAGAGAGAGAAAGAGAGAACGAGGGGCAGAACAAGAGCGCTGCTCGCTATTGTTTTCTCGAGTGGTACTCGCTGGTTCAATGCTCGCCCGCTCTGGTAGACCGGTACCAGATGTACCCGACCGCCTGGTTTCAAACCGTGATACCGCGCCACGCCATTCGCGGCGATTACGCTTTCCAATTTCCCAAAATGTTCGTATTGTTCGCGATCGGAACAAAAGCGTGTTTCCAGTCGAAAAACTGAACTGCCCGGCTTCGTCTTGCCCAATCGCGAGACTTTCCCGAAGGATTTCCATTTCCGTTCCTGGATATTTGTCAATGATAATCTATAGAATTGTATATTATTTAGATTACGGAATTATAATTAGTTGAATTATTTGCAATGTTAAAATTGTTAATGGACAGGCTGTCTGTTAGTCGTCGATCCGTGCGCCGTGTTTGATGGGTGATTGAACCGATCGAGCGTAGAACCAATTCAATTATATTTGTCTCAAGTGCATACAATACAAAAATGGCCACGCGTGCCACGTGTGTCACTCGCAGGAATATAATCGTTACGGTATCCTGCGGTCAACCGTGCACCGACTATACTGTAAAAACATATAATTCGCACGACCGCGGCGTGATCGCGATCTCGAGTAAAACGTTGATCGCCGCGTTTCGCTAGTCGCAAAAATACTAATTCCTTGTTATGGAAGGAACGCGACGCTTCCGCGGGCCGCGGTCGTGCTTATTCGCGCCAATGATCATAGAGATATATTTCTTTCAACGGAACGGAAAATTACATGATTCTCGCGCGGAATGAGAAAATTCCCGCTATAGAAACGAACGTTACACGATGCTTGCACGACGCTAATAATCCGCGAGAAAGAGAGAAACGTCTCTCGCGTGGTCGAATGAAATTCGGAATTGATTGAGGAAAAGTGTCGTTCGCTGTCGGCAAAGAAAAACGAAATATCCACACGCGCGGGATAACGAAGACCGCGTTGATCACGATTTTAAAATCACCCGAAGAGACTGCCACCGTCTCCCGAGCACTGACTTCCTAGTAAACCGGAGCGAGATCGTCGGAATCCTCTCGGTCTGAGCCGCGTCAGGTACTCCGATTTACACGGTGCCTCCTACGAGGGACGATTACAACGCCTATCATCCATGATTAACGCCCGTGATTCAATCGAAAGGGAATATTATGCATTTCTCGTGGCTCCGAACAATCCTCGCTCCAGTTACCGGCTTTGAATTGTTAAAATTACACCCGTCTTTGACAGGTACGCTCTATTATTTCGCTGAACGGATTAGCCGATCTCCGAGAATCGGCTGCGCCGTTTGTCACGCTGTGCGTCCATTCGCGCGTCTTTTTTTTTATTCAAATTTTTCGCTAAGTTTTGAACTAGTATTTCAATAGTTGAGTCAGACAGTTTCGCTCGAAAACATCGTCCTCGCCGAATTTGCAGCCGATAATGAGTTGAAGAATGAATTCGGGAACGTATTGCACACGAATGTTTGGATTGCCTAAGTTCCTTAGGCAAAATGGCGGGTACGGTCATTTGTTGTTCGTAGCGAGACAATCTTATCCTGGTCCTAAGGTTAGGTTTTTTTTGTGATGATATTAATTCTGTTTCCCCGTGAAAATTGTCGATTCGGCGGATCGAGACTCTTGCCGATTGGAAGGACTTTGTCCTAGCGTTTACCGTCTCCAACCCCCTCCTCTGTTGCTGTTTCCGCTATTGTTGCCTTGATAATTGGACGAATAGTCCTGAAACAACCAGAAAACATCGGCAATGTTAATAGGAGATCTAATCCAGCGAATCTAGAAAATTGTCTTCAGAACTGTTTGAGTCTGTTCGCGAAGAACGAAAAACGAAAAATGTCGATTATTTTGAAGTTTCTAGGAGTACTTTAAGTTTCATTAATTAGCTAGTTTAACAATGCAAAGATGAACAGCTATGATTACGTTATTCACGATAAACAGCTACATTCCTTCGTCGGATCAACTAAAGATTTTCATGTTCCGTAAGGCAATGGTTTGAAATTCCTCTCATCGAAGGACAATCGACAAATAATTCGAATTTGCTATCTATCCTCTGGTTTCGGCGTCGAGTGTTCAAACGGCGTTCATTTGGCTAGCAAACGGGGACGATTCTCTGATTGCTACCATTGAACGCGAAGTATGAGAATCTTACCCGTTGCTGATGGTAGCTATTGTACTGCGAACCCTGGTAATTGTTTCGTCCGTACGGCTGAGTGCTGTAGTTATTCCATTGCTGGTATTCTTGATGCTGGTAACGCTGGTAGTTATGAGGCACCATGGAACCGGAGTTCCATGGCCTCGCGGACGGGGTGGCCTGCTGGTTTGATCTGGAACTCTCGTATCCCCTTGAGTCCCCTTGGTAGTATCCCCTCTGGTAGCCTGGAAAAGTCAGACGAACGATTCGTTCGTGTTAACACCTGCCATACGTATTACTAGAAATAAAGAGAGATCGTGACTACAGACGTCGAATTAAAGACAACAACGTTCAGCGTAATCAATCGACATACAAGACAAAAATTGTACATAAGCATGAATGTGTATTAGTTATATACGATTATGGTACGGTACATAATTTTCAATTATATTTTAAATTATAAAGTGGTATAATTTAAAATATAATATGCAATGATCCTGTCGTCTCCTTTCTATTAAAAACAAAGCTTCGTAAGTTTTCGATTGACGGAAAGATAAGATCCCATTATCAACCCTATGCACTCGAAAAGTTTTTCACTGGGAATATCCAAACTTTTCCTATGAAATATGGACGACATTCTTTGAATTTAACTAATGAGAAAACACAGGTAAACTAAGGAACCAAGCTGTCTTATTTCAATATTTCACGTACCGATGCATCGTACAAAGCTTAATAATCTACGTAAGACCTTTTAACTTTGTTATATCGAATCAAGTGGTGAATGAGAGTCACCTCTCGAGTGCAAGGGGTTAACAGCTCGAATAGACGAAAGATAAAGTGAAAACCAACATCAAATTCTAAATTTTCAAACGCTAAACAAAAAAGTTCTAACAGAAAGTTCTGAAACCTTCTATTCTTCAAACGCTGAAACATTCTCTCGATCCATTTCTGATTCCTCTCCGACAACCGTGCATGTATTTCCATAAATCCCCTCCAACCCTTCCAACCCCGAACCTGTCGAGCTCTCGAAACGGTTTAACGAAAATCAAACGAAGTCGTTCCACGGAATCACCGCTCGACAGGCCGAAGGACAGACAAAGACGCACTGCAATCCACGGTAGGACAGGAGGAAGACGTGATCGTAGGTGAATGGGCGGGAGCGTGGCGGCGCGTGTGCCCCCGTGCGCGCCCTCGAATAATATGTAAACGCGCGTGCGGCTCGGACGGAAGAACCGAGTGTTTGCCGGGAATCGCGAGACGTCATAATGGAGAGGAGGCCTCGATGCTAATAACGGATATTCGAAAGGCCGCGTGCGGCAATCACGCGCGAGAAACACAACAAAGCGAGAGGGAACGACGAATTAGGGGATGAAACGGAAGAAGAGGCAAGAAGTCGTTACGAACCCAATGGATCCCGCACGCCCACGCAAATACAACACGGGAATAGGCACGCGGGAGAGACGAGAGAAAAATTGAAGTCGGGTGGAGATGTAATGACGACGCTGACAAAAGAACAAAACTGGTTACGCCGAGGGGGCCGCCCCCCTGCCACCGTCTCGCGGGTCTGCAAGTCGCGCGCTCCTCTTTCACTACCGTTGAATATTTATAACTCGCGTTTCGAATCGCGCGGGATCATGCTTTTCACCCGGTGACACGCGAGGGGGTTGAATTTAGGAGCGAAAGGGGGTGGCAAACAGGCGAAGCATCGTGAACCGGAGGAACCCGCGTTGTTTGATGTGTCCTCGTTGGAGTGGAAATCAATCTTAATTGAATCGATCATAAGCTAACCGAGGAGGAACAGAGGAGCTGCCAGCGCGAGCTTCTTCGGATACGCGGTTCGCGGAAATCGTAACGAACCCTCGGATCTCGTATTCATGTATTCCGCGCGCGAGGCCTCTTCCGTTCCCTGTTCGTGCGTTCATCTTGCGAAGAGACCATCGATCCACTTCGGGGGATGAAAATCGTTCGAGACTGCGAATGTGTCTTACGCAGCTTCTTCGGGGCTAGTTTGACACGGGAATTACCGTATCACTGAAACTGATTTTAGCTTTCTGACTTGGCAATATCTTGAAAGTATCTATGAACCCTTTGCACTCGGGAGGTGACTGATATTTAATATTATACTACGTATAATGCATCAATTTGAGAAATATCGAAATAAAGTATTATAGCTTTGTTCCTCGATGTACATGCGATTTCTCTTCGAGTTAATTACACAAAATATCGTCTTTATCGCCTCATCAAAAGGTCAAATATTTCTAGTGAAAAACTGCCGAGTGCGAAGGGTTAAATATATGAAATGACTTAGGGAATGAATAGGTTTAGTTGAATACTATAACGGATATCTGAAAAAACTGCTTAATCGTTTGTTATGATATGTGTGGTAGTTCTTTGTTAAGGATATATGAGTGTCAATTGAAGTGGCGGTACTGAGATACGAATATCTTTTCGGCGTTGAATATTTCCATGCTGCCGCGTGAGCGTAAAGAAATTTAGCAGATTTTGTTTTGTTTCCAAAATTGGAGGAAGACTCTTTTACGAGAAATAACACTTCATCAGCTAAAAAGCTACTGAAAGGCTTAAATATACAAATATTATATAAGTTTCGAGGCTCTATTTATTTTGTGACTACTCGCTGCGCCATTTTATCAGTTACCGCTCTCCGTTCGCCTAATCCGGCGAATAAACTGTGCCGCTTCGCGATTTTCCATGGAAACGCGTGTCCCGTACTAGTTTGCACAGTCAGACGACTGAATTTTCTTTGAATATTCTAATGAAGAGATCCTACAGTTGTAGCACGTATCACGATACACGAAAGAGAGAAAGTGTTCTTTCTCAAACAGCAGACCTCTAGAATCGTGACGCGTATATAATCTTTCTTTCAATTCTACATTTAAAATTTTACTGTAGAAACTTGATGCACAATCTACATACATTATAACTATATTGTTAAAACATCGTCAATTATAAGTACCAAACTCCACAACCTTCAGATTAAACCTTGACTATTCGCTCAAATTATAATTTTACACCGCTTCCAGCAAACCCATTTTAAATCAATATTCCACACCCTATATTCCCCAAAATTGAATATCAAACACCAAACTTTTTAATTTTGCCATACCGAAAGCTACCAGGAGTCTCTCCTCAAGCACGAAGGATTAATTCCGAAGTATTTAATTGTGCACCCCTCAAAGAAGAATTCGTCTGAATCTCCTGATTCAAGGAACGATCGTTGAAGGGGTTCGAGGGACAGCATCCCCAAGATCCCCGGAACTCGGCAGTCGAGCGAGTAGAGAGACTATCAGTGACGCATGATAATCGTATAGTTCGGCTCAATCGAGCTCGTAATGGGAGGCGGCAAACACCGTCAATATTATCGAGGGTCGGAGGGGTGGGTCCCGTTGGACTGCGCTCTAACCAGCTATAAAGTCCTGCCGTGTCTGTCCGTGTCGTTGTGCAGTGGCGGCCGCTCCGTCCCGCTCTTCTGCGGCAACAATAACATCCCCCGTGGATTCCCAACCCCGGCACGGCTCCAAAAAGGGGGCGCCCCCACGGTAATCCTCACCCTCGCCGAAAAAAGGGCCCGCTAAGAGAGAGAGGGGGCGGACGGGCGGGTTTTAACAGTTTACACGTCGGATCATCTCTCGTTATTGTTGCATTTATGATAATAGCCGGCCGACCGGCACGCACCCCCGGCTGACCGCTTCAACCCCATCGCTGCGCGAGGGGTCGTGGATCGTTGCGCGCGATCAAGTATTTAATTAGACGGCCCCGCCTAATAACTAACGCCGCGATATTTCGATACCTGGTGTCGGGATGTAAGGTGTTATTGAATACTCGCGACAAATATGTTTACAAGTTATTTATTTATGTAGACGAGTGTTCGGAGGCAGAACGGGTAATCTGCTTCCTCGCGCCTTTCCGCTTTATTTATTTGCGTCTTCAGAAAGGCGTTACCCCTTGGAAACTTCGAGGGTGGAGCTAATTCCCTTCTCCAACGTCGCCTCGATTTTTGGCAGGGGAAAAATTGTGGATTTCTAATTCGGAATCTTTTTCCCGAGCCACGCTGACCGTGCGGCCGAAGAAGCCTTAACGGGACATGCCTGGCAGCGTTTATGGTAGGGTAGCCTATTCAGCTACGCACGTATAAAAAGTGTAAAATATTTTCGCCAACTTACAGACTTTAGAGTAGGCTTAATTGCCTATACCTAAACATCTGTAAGTGGTCAATGCTATTTCCTACCAACGCTGCGAGCCACGTACCGCTACACCTGGATTTTGCAGGTTTGATAGGTTCCAGGTTAGATTTGGAAAGGTTCCAAAAAATGTTTAAAACTGTTATACAGGGTGTTATGTTTAACGAGACGCATAGAGCGTACAACATCGGTACAAGAAACTTCGGAAACTGTTTGTTTTCATAGTGATATCGAGGTTACTTTGGGTTTTATAAATAGGAACACATAGTTTTTGTTTACCATATCATAGAGGACATGGAAATGAATGCAAAGTATAGTAAAGGATATTTTTACTAACGTATTACTTGATTTACAGTAATGGAAATGTGAAATATTTAGCTTTTCGTTGCATTTGACTTGAAGAGATTCCGACTGAAATAGTTGTGCACAATCGAAACAAACTAACAACTGATCTACATCGGTTCTACATTTCGATTCTGCATTTCCTTCAGAAATTAAAAAAATGCTTCTTCGAGAAACTGTAAAATAAATTCGCATATCTGCACTGGTGCACCAATAAGGGGTGCTTGAAATTTCAACAAACACATAGCTCTCATAAGAAACGATAAAGAAGTCACGGTATTAAATCATGTTAACCGAACGGTTTCCAAAGAGATACCAAAACACGGCGGTATGAAGAATCTTCATCAAAACCGGGAAGCTGGGGAATTATCGGCAATTGAGTTCTCGAGGCTTGCTGGAGCTGGACTTCTGTCGAGTGGTCCGCGAAAAATCTTCGGACCCTCGAAGACGGTCGAAAAAAAAAGAGGACTACAACGCGGAGGGAAAAATGGGGCCGGCCATTGGTGTGAGGCGTCGAGGGGGTGAGAGGAGGCCGACGGGGGACGGGAAAGTGTAATTTCAGTTTGAAACAGGAACGGGAGAGGCCGACCCACATCGAGGCTTCGAGTGTTTGTATTGCTGACGCGGCGATCCAATCCAATCCAATACCCGTGGCGAATAGGCAACACACAGCTCATATACTACCTACATATGAACGAATCTCT